TCATTAGCCCCGAGAAGACGGAGCCCAACGTGAGCCCTGAGGGAATCCAGACGGAGCTGGACGAAGAGATGGAGAATGACATTTGCAAAGTGTGGGACATGTCGATGGATGAGGTAGGAGCGATGTGCGGGAGTCAGACCTCGAGGGTGGTTCACGGCTACAGGCAGCTTCTGCCCCGTTTCTGTTGCTGAGCGTGTTCAGCCAAAATCCTTCTGGAAGTGGGAGAAGGCACAGAGTTAAACAGGCTCGGTCAGCTTTCTGATGTCGATGGTATTTTTTATTCTCTGGTTTGGCTGATGGTGTCCTGTGAGTCATTAGGCAAGGCAGGTGTGGTGAATTAGCATTGAGCAGGCTCATCACAAAGGCTGCTTTTCAAGATGAGCAAGTACTTTGTGTGCATTCTTAGGCCCAGCACTAGTTTGCAGAAGCAGGCCTTCTGTCGCGTCCTAGCTGCTGGATGCCATGCTGCTGTTTGAGGATATAAAGCAGAGCTGTGTGTGAACGTTAAAGAAACAAGGTGGTCTGCCAGACCTTCCCCCAGGTGTCTAATGGATCATGTGGTGTTATTGCTTAGGGTCAGCTGGCATAAATGGGGCTGTATTCACATCTGTTGGTTTTCTGTATTATGTGTAGGAGTGTGGTGGTTTAACCCCAGTTGGCAACTGAGCACCACACAGCCACTTGCTCACTGCACCCCCTGGTGGGATGGGGGAGAGAATCAGAAGGGTAAAAGTGAGAAAACTCATGGGTTGAGATAAAAACAGTTTAATAGGTAAAGCAAAACAAGGAATTCATTCAGTCCTTCCCATCGGCAGGCAGGTGTTCAGCCATCTCCAGGAAAGCAGGGCTCCCTCACACGTAACAGTAACTTGGGAAGACAAATGCCATCACTCCAAACGTCCCCCGCTTCCTTCTTCCCCCAGCTTTACATGCTGAGCATGATGTCATATGGTGTGGAATATCCCTTTGGTCAGTTGGGGTCAGCTGTCCCAGCTGTGTCCCCTCCCAGCTTCTTGTGCACCCCCAGCCTACTCACTGGTGGGGTGGTGTCAGAAGCGGAAAAGGCCTTGACTCTGTGTCAGCACTGCTCAGCAATAACGAAAACATCCCTGTGTTATCAACACTGTTTTCAGCACAAATCCAAAACGTAGCCCCATACGAGCTACTATAAAGAAAATTAACTCTATCCCAGCCAAAACCAGCACAAGGAGTTGAACCGAAGCTTGGAGAAATTAACTCAGGCACATAGCCTGTATCTTCAGCAGTTTGATTATGGAGATAATACTGATGCCGTCTCTAAACAGGCATATATTCCTCTAGCAATTGTAATGCATCCTGCTAGTAAGCATAGTTTTCTCTGGTAGATAAACAACCTTTAAAACTTTAGCTACAGACTCACAATGGCAATCCAACATAACTTCTTGGTATGTTTCTCAACATTCTCAAATGCTGGAACAAGTTCTCAAGTAAGAGATACGTATTTTTTTAAATTATTATGATTTTATTCCCTGGCTCTTTGTTAGATATTTTAAATAAACATGGAGGATGTGTCCTTTACTCCCAAATAGAGGACTAATCTTGTGGTTTAATGTAAAATGAGGAGGAAATTTCCTCTTTTGTATGCTCTGATCAGGTGCTAATGGTAATCCCTTCCCTTGTTTCTTTTTGTATGTGTGGATGATGTCACTGTCTGAAAACATGGTATTTGCTGAATTCTGATTTAGCGTCTCTGACCCTCTGTTGAGACAGAGAGCAAAAGAAACTAAATGTGACTTTTTGGCTCATTGTATAGCAAATCACTGGCATTTTGAATCACCATAGGGGCTTGCTGATCTTCTCTTATTGAAAAGCAAGGATAATTGATATTAACTGTTGGGAAATAAGAGATCTCTTGTAGTGAGTTTGACATCTCTTTGACCCAGTCCTTGTGCTGTGAGAAAAGGTTTGATTTTGCGTTTGGAAATTGTAGAAGTCCATTTACTTCTCTATTCACTTTCTCCACAGGATGTCGCTTTATTTCTTCAGGAGTTCAACGCCCCTGATATATTCATGGGAGTTTTTGCAAAGTCAAAATGCCCTCGCCTTACTGTAAGTATGGGCTGTCAAAAAACTGTCCCACATTAATAGCGATAGTAGATCACTCTGTACATGCATTTGCACATATCTCCCTCCTCCTCCCGTTGCATGTTTGAATAGGTTAAGGGAATGAGGAGAAAACACAAAATCAAATTTTAAAATGCTTTTTTGCAGTGTTTTTAATATGGTCTAATCAGTAAGTATTTCAGTGATGCTGAAGCTGATATATGTCATTATTGATGAAGGACTAAGTTTATCAAACCTAGCTATAAGGCTTCTTATAAAAAACAGTAAAGACTGGCTGTGGTGGGGTGGCCTTGGCTGGACACCAGTGCCCACCAAGCTGCTCTATCACTCCCCCTTCTCAACTGGACAGGGGAGAGAAAATAAAATGAAAGGCTTGTGAGTCGAGATTAGGACAGGGAGATCACTCAGCAATTGCAGTCACGGGCATAACAGACTCGACTTGGGGAAATTAATTAAATTTACTACCAATCAAATCAGAGTAGGATAATGAGAAATAAAACCAAATCTTAAAACGCCTTCCCCCCACTCCTCCCTTCTTCCCAGGCTCAACTTCACTCCCAAATTCTCTACCTCCTCCTCCTGAGCGGTGCAGGGGGATGGGGAATGGGGGTTGCGGTCAGTTCATCACATGTTGTTTCTGCTGCTCCTTCCTCCTCACACTCTTCCCCTACTCCAGCATGGGGTCCCTCCCATGGGAGACAGTCCTTCACGAACTTCTCTAACGTGGGTCCTTTCCATGGGCTGCAGTTCTTCAAGGTCTGCTCCAGCGGGGGTCCTTTCCATGGTGTGCAGTCCTTCAGGAACGGGCTGCTCCAGCGTGGGTCCCCCATGGGGTCACAGGTCCTGCCAGCAAACCTGCTCCAGGGTGGGCTCCTTTCTGTGGGGCCACGAGTCCTGCCAGCAGCCTGCTCCAGCGCAGGCTCCTCTCCACGGGGTCACAGCCTGCTTTGGGCATCCGCCTGCTCCGGCGTGGGGTCCTCCATGGGCTGCAGGTGGATATCTGCTCCACCGTTAACCTCCATGGGCAGCAGGGGGACAGCCTGCCTCACCATGGTCTTCACCAAGGGCTGCAGGGGAATCTCTGTTCTGGCACCTGGAGCACCTCCTCCACCTCCTTCTTCACCTTGGTGTCTGCTTTAGCAATTAGGAACTGTTAGACACCAGTACTTTGCATTTTTTTTTCTTCCTCCTTTGTTTTGATGTCGTTGTTTTGCAGCTTGTATTACACAGAGCACTGGCATTTAGGATTCAAGATACGGTTTTGAAAGGTATTCAGTGTTGGTATAACTCCCCTTTCTCTGAAGTTATCAGAAGCTTTACTTCAGGAGATGAGTAGAGACTCATAAGGCTTTGAAAGTTCAGTACTTTGTCTTTTGAAAGTACAACCAAAATTTGGAAGTCAGTGCAAATCGGCTGTCACAGCTACTTTCTTGAAATAGTGGCTGCTGAGTGTCTGCTGTAATTTAGCAGAGGTAATAGAATGTTAAAAAGATAACCTTGAGTGGTGAGGGTTGATTTCCAACTTCAAGTTGCTGAAAGGAAGCGATTCCCAGGACATTAGGTTAGCACCGGTCACCTGCAGGTGTTCCAGAGCTCTCACAGTCCCCTTTATAGGAGCATGCATCGTTTTAATGATTGTCTAGGCATGAATATCCTAATGGGATGCACTGCTTTTGGTTTTGTTTGTTTTTTTTAAATGTCTGCAATCAGAAAATGGGCTTTGCCGGAAGCTTGTATTAAGACCCCTTTCTTTTGGGAGGAAGTGAATATCTGTGAGGGTTGTACTTAAATGGTGATATTTTTGTTCTTAGGACTCTTTATTACTTTAATAATAGGGATGCCAGATTAGCTTCAAAACAGTATACATAGAATATGCAAGTAAAGTTGATTTCAAGATATATTTGCTTTTATGGAACACTGTAACCCCAAAATATCTGAATAGTACCTGTCATGAGTATACTTTAGGCTAGTCTAATAGCATCCTGTAGAAAAAAAATCTGTCTTGAAATCGATGGGTCATAAGAACTTGGAAATAAAACTGGAAAACATCTTTGAACCTTTCTTACTTTTGTCTTATGGCTGTGGAAATAAAATCATGAACTATGTTGCAGTTGCTTCATTATACTGTGTTTTGACTTTTCAGGAAATCTGTGTGGGAATATTGGGAAATATGGCCTGTTTCCAAGACATATGCATGTCCATTAGTAAAGATGAGAATCTCGGGTGAGTGTATATGTGCTTTATATGTGCATGAGTACTGCTTTTCTGGACTCACAATCATGAAATATATGTCATAGAAGGAACGAAGTTTGCCTGCCGTGCCTCATCTTCGTTCAGACTTTTTTGGCTGACCATAGTTGTGTGGGAAGTGTTCAGTGAAGGAAAAAAAAGGCTACAGACCACTTTTTTTTTTTTTTTTTTTTTTTTAATCACCAGTCTTTTTTTTGAATCTTTAATGTCTAAGTTTGGCAATCTTGAAGCATTGGTAATGCATGCACAGTCAGGAAAAGCTGGTTTTAGCCTTAGTACATGGCTGCAGCTGTGAAATTAACCTTTTTATAATGTTTTTTTTTTTTAAACAAAGATAGTTTTTATTGGAGTCTAAATTGGAGAGAGATGGATTTGATGGATGGACTGTTCGGTGGATGAGGAATTGGCTGGATGGTCGCACCCAGAGGGTAGTGGTCAACAGCTCAATGTCCAGATAGAGACTGGTGACAAGTGGTGTCCCTCAGGGGTCCATATTGGGACCAATACTATTTAGTATCTTCATCAGTGACATAGACAGTGGGATCAAGTGCACCCTCAGCAAATTT